CAAGAGAAAAGCAAATATGAACCGATCCTTTGTTGAAAGAAAAATAAAAGTCTCATTAACTGAACCAAAATAAGATATAGTGGACCACGATTATATCACTTGTGGAAAATTTTTCCATTTGCAGATATTTTTTTTCATTCAACATATCTGAAATAAATAAATGCAGCTAATTAAGCTGAAATACCTAGCCGCAATGATGGGGTGCGACTTACCATTACATTCCAATCTCAGGACATTAGAAAGTTAAATATTTGGCTAAATATGAAGGTTTTCATATTTTTACATGATATAAAAACAGCACAGGCCTTCTGTTCTGCAGAACTCATGTCAAACGTGCAGAAATTTGAATATCATCAAGAACTAATTATTTTGACTTTTTAGTGTTTTAATGTTGATCATGACTTACAGTTGAGGAAATTTTGAAAACCAGATAACTCAAGTCAAAAAACTATTTAATAGGGAAATTTAAATATTGAAAAATATGTTTACTTATTGCACAGTGGCGCAGTTGGTAGCATTGTTGCCTTGCAGCAAGAAGGTCCCGCCTCACTGTCTTTCTGCGCGGAGTTTGCAGGTTCTCCCTGTGCATGCGTGGATTCTCTCCGGGTACTCCAGCTTCCTCCCACAGTCTACAAACATAACTGCTTGGTTAATTGGTCTCTCTAAATTCTCCCTTGGTGTGAGTGTGTGTGTGCATGGTTGTTTGTCCTGTTTGTCTCTGTGTTGCCCTGTGACAGACTGGCAACCTGTCCAGCGTGTACCCCGCCTCTCGCCCGGAAAGTAGCTGGAGAGGCATCAGCACCTCCAGACCCCATCAGGGACAAGGGTGAACAGAAAATGGATGGATGGATGGTGTTTACTTATTGTGCAGTTCATGTTCTCAGTACTTGGTTGGGGCTCTTTTTGCATTATTTGCTGCCTCAACAGCACTTGGCTTGGATGGGATCAACCTGTGGATTTTGAAAAGTATTTGAAAAGCTCAGATTGCTTTGACTATGCCCTTCAGCTTGTCTCCATTTTGGGCTGCCAAAGCTCCAACTCCACCCAAGTGGGGAGTCTACACTCCAAGTTTACACTTTTCGTTAATGCCTTAATTTTAATGTGTAGTAGGAGTGCCATTTATTCTGTCATCAGATTTTCATCTTTGCAAGTTGATTTCACTTTGTTCCAGTTTTTTTCATTTGTTAGTTCTTTTTTTTTTTTTTGCTAAGCTGCTTCACAAAATTTAGATTTTTCTTTTCTCTAAACTTGAGAAAAGGAATTTGAAACTCAATTCCTACAATGGATGTCCAGCAAAGCAGAAATTATTGAGTACCTTTCAACACATAGAAAAACTAGAAGAAAATGTCTCTTTTGACTTCTCTACCAGAAATTTTCTTTGTTGCTAAATAAAAAGGATCCTTTATGTTCCAATCCAACAGTGCAGTTTTATCTCTTGACTTCTCACTGAATCTCATAACTGTTGACAATTACTATAGGTGGTGAAACTGTGGATCACAAATTAAATACCTGAACAGTTTTTTCTTTTTTTTTTTTTGCTGTTTCCTAGAGAATATAATGAAGGTAGTGCAGCATTTCTGTGTTTTAGGTCTCTTGATTTTCTGGAGGCTCTTTTTGTCAGTTTTCCCTTCTAATGGCCTCTTTGCTATTCTGAGCGACTTTCCTGTCCCAGCTAGAGCAAAACCAGAAAGAGTTGGTCAGGAAGAAGTATGAGGCTCTCATACCTATGCATGACAAGAAACTAAGTTCTAAATTCACTTCTACACTTGTGTTCCTGGGTTAACTGAGGTACTTGGTATTCTGCATTAGCCTGAATAGTGAAGTGAAGGAAAAATGTGCATTAGCTGGCTTCACCTTAAAAGTTGAATAGAGGACAAATAAGAGAAAGCATGGAAAATCTTCTGACACCCTCATGGGTTTAGATTTGATCTTTTATGTATGAAAATTGAACCATTGACTATAAGAATCTACATCAGCACCATATGATTCTTTCGATCACCAACTATCTTTCTAAATAAATCTTAAATTAATACATGAGTCGGTTCTCCTTTTTGTTTCTTGAAAAATTGCCAAACTGAGAAGCAAATCAAGTTTTTAAAGCAGAGGTTTGAAAAATAAACAGTTTTCAGTCAGACAAAGAAAGAATTGCTTCAGGGTGTTTTGGTACACTGAGATACTTTACATGCTTCCCATGAATCCAACTCCAGGACTGCAGTGGGAGCCGGAGCAGGAGGTCATAAAGTCAGAGAAGAAGAACGTGGTCTCCATGAAAACACAAGACTGAAAGTAGGTTTGGGTCCTGAAGCACTTCTAGTGTCCGATCAGTCATAAAGTATATTTTTGCGAAGAGACAATTTTTGGTACAAGAATTCAAAACATTGGCAATGTGCCCTTTTTTGTGTTGGGACAAAGTAAAAGCCTCAAAGTTTTTTTTTTTTTTTTTTTTTTTTTTTTAATTCTCAGTTCCTGTCATGTTTGCAGCTTCAGAAACATAAAGCTCGTCTGCTTGTGTTATTGTTCCTTAGCACGGATGAGTGAACATAAATGCAGCAATTGTTTGCCTCGTATTTACTGACAACATAGTGAAGTAACTTTATTGCTCATTTGTTTGGGGCTCCAGCTCTGTAAATCTCTCTGAGCTGGTCTTTGTCAGTAGAGAAGGTTGGTAGAAAATCTCCTGATAACTGATTTATACACAACAGAAGACAGTCAAATGATGGTGGGGTGTTGGAGAGAGAGTCTGCCTTTGATAAAATCAAAAATCTCAGTGAGTTCTTTTCACTATTATGGATTCAGTAACTCAGTAAAATATTTTTTGATTTAATCATTGATGCTTTGGAGTTGGAGACATTAAAACAAAAAGCTATCAAGCACCACTCAGGCAGAAGTCAGTTTATTGCCTACAACATTTACAAAGTGGTTTTAAAAACAATAATTGCATTATGTAACATTTATTGGTCAAACATTATGGGCAGGAAAGCCCAAAGCATCCAACTTTAACATTTATAGTTGCAAAAAGAATAAGTCAGCCCTAGGGACTAATATCTGTTTAATGTTGAGTTTATGAGTGGGTGTTTTTGCTTTTTACTTATTTAGGCTGGAATGTCTTTTAACATGCCTGTTTGAAAGTTGTGAAATATTGTCATTAATCACCCTGTCACATGTAATCTATTGAAGAGTATTTTTAAAAGAATAATTCCTTAAATGAAGAATTATTAAAGTTGTCATACTTGCTCATGTTTCTTGTAAGAAGGCTAGGAATTCCAGATCTATATTCTAGAAAACATCTTGTGTTTACTAAAGTTTATTTTTTGTTTGTTTGATTTTTTTTTTTTTTTTTTTTTTTACGTAAAACATGCAGATACATACATACAGTATAATTTCTAAACACACATCAACTAAGAAAGTCTTAGTTGATGTGTGTTTAGAGTTTATGGACCATAACATAAGAGACCACTCTGAAAATGCTATTAATTTTAACAGTTAAAACACTAAATATACTATAACATGTATTGAAGCCTCAAAATTCAAAGTTTGGCACTTGAAAATCAAAAATCGGCTGCTTTAACGTTGGACTCGACTTGAGACTGACTTGTGACTTCCAGAACAAAGACGCCCATTTTTGCCCATTTTCATATTAATAAAGTAGTAACATTTTGCAAACTTGCAAAAGTTTCAAGGACAAAGTGAAACTGTTATTGTGAGTCGCTGCTGGGGGGAGTGTGCTTATCTTGAACAAACCCAGGAGCAGGTGATAAAGACAACCTTGTCCTCCGTCTGTTTACCAGGATCTGTTTACTAAACTGCCAGTTAGTGTTTGGGAGCTGCTGTTAAACACACCAGAGTTATCAGGCTTGCAGCTGTGTAGTCACCATTCAGCACAGTGGGGTAAACTGACTTTTTTTTCTGCCTGGAAAAATAACTCTGTAAGATGAACACAGAACTTCAACAACCTTTCTGATCTAAATTATGTTATAGAATGGGTTTTATAATGGGAGCAAATGTCTTAGTTCTGCTTTGCTTACAATATTTTTAAACTTAGCATTTTCTCTCCAAAATAATAAAATATAAATATTTGAACCACAAGAAATTTAATGTAAATATTTCAATGTAAATTGAGTCAAATGTTGGAGCATATAGAGCCTTTATGGGAACTGTGTCTTCTGTAAGTATTTACTACATTAGCTATGCCAAGGGACCATCGGGTAGCATGTTTTTCCTTTCTCAGTAGACCTCAAAGACCATGGGAACTGTAAATAAAAGAATACTGGAGTGCTGCAGGCTGGACAGACTATAGATGGTTTCAACATGAACGAAAGTCCACTTTATGTCCATTAGCCAAGTCTATTATGAGGCAATTTTCCCATGTCTTACAGAGGAATCCTATTAAAATCATTCATTGGGACTCATTGTGATAATTAACTTTTACAGTAGGATTTTAAAGATCCATGTGGGAGTGAGGCTTGTGTGAAACATTTACTGGCTGTTGATGTTAGGATTTGTGCTTCCATGTTCATTTTTTTTTCTCCAGGTGTTTAGGCAATGATCATAAAGGAATATATTTGAATATAATATTTAGGCCACATTCATTGTAAAGTTTGGCATTAACTGATCAGAGCTCAAATTTTCTCTACAACAGAAACTAAACGTTTCAGCACTTGTCGAGGCTTAGTTTTCATCTATATCTTTTGAGCTGATTGCAAACACCTGCTGATTTTTCTGTTTCAAGTAGCCAGAGGGGTTATAAAAGGCTCGTCTTTAACAACATAGCTGCTCTGGAAATTAAAGGTTTGCTTCAGTTAATCACCTAAAGGTTTATGACCAACAGGTTGAAACTGGATATGAATTCAAGATTAGTTATAACCAGTGTGGGAAAAGTGACTCTTTAACTATGTATTTTTCAAAAATAAGTTATTTGTATCTTCATTCCCATTTTTTTTTCTTTTTAGATTTTTCTATTTATCACCCCACTCATCTAATGCACTCTGTTTTTTTTTCAGGATTCCGCAAAATCAGTCTCGATGATCTGCGGAAGGCCTACATCGTCAAGGATGTGCAGCAGTACATCCTTCACCGGCTGGACCAGGAGGAGGCTTTGAGACAGCACCTAACCAAGGAGACCGCTGAAATGCTCAACCAGCTTCACATCAAAAGCAGCGGCTGTTTCCTCTACCTGGAACGTGTTCTGGATGGCGTAGTGGAGAACTTCATCATGCTTCGGGAGATCCGTGACATCCCAGGCACTCTCAATGGCCTCTACCTGTGGCTTTGTCAAAGGCTGTTCGTCAGAAAACAATTTGCCAAGGTTCAGCCCATTCTTAATGTAATCTTGGCAACTTGCAGGCCACTTACAGTCAAAGAACTGTACCACGCAGTCTGGACCAAAAACATGACACTGACTATGGAGGAGTTTCAGAAAAAGATGGACATTCTCTCCAAGTTGTTGGTCGATGGCCTTGGGAGTACTAAAATCCTTTTCCACTACAGTTTTGCAGAATGGTTGCTGGATGTGAAGCACTGCACCCAGAAGTATCTGTGCAATGCAGCAGAGGGTCATCGGATGTTGGCCATGAGCTACACCTGTAGAGCAAAGCAGCTGAAGCCTCTGGAAGTTCAGGAATTTGCTCTGCACCTTGTCAACTCTAACTTGCAGATTGAGCCCTGTAATCTTGCTCTTTGGATGGTCTGGAATGGAACTCCCACTAAAGACTCTCTGAGCACCTCCATACCAAGAGAGCAGGAAGTTCTGCAGCTTCTGGTCAAAGCTGGTGCTCATGTGAACAATGAAGATGATCATGCTTCATGCATTGTACAGCAAGCTCTAGAGCGAGAGGACTCAATAAGAACATTACTTGACAACGGGGCTTCTGTAAACCAGTGTGACTCTAATGGCAGAACTCTACTGGCCAATGCTGCATACAGTGGAAATCTTGATGTGGTTAATTTGCTAATATCTAGAGGGTCGAACATGGAGTTGGAAGACAACCATGGACAAACGGCGCTTACTCTGGCTGCAAGGCAGGGTCATACCAAAGTGGTCAACTGCCTTATTGGTTGTGAAGCAGACATAAACCACACGGATCATGATGGGTGGACCGCGCTCCGCTCTGCAGCTTGGGGCGGACACTCTGAGGTTGTGTCTGCTCTTCTTTATGCTGGAGCCAAAGTGGACTGTGCTGATGCAGATGGTAGAACTGCACTGAGGGCGGCAGCTTGGGGAGGCCATGAAGATATTGTGTTAAATCTTCTTCAGCACGGAGCCGAAGTCAACAAAGCAGACAATGAAGGAAGAAAGCTGCGGCATATGGGGCACAGAGAAATGGGAGCTGGACCACGGAGCTGAAGTTAATCATGAAGATGTTGATGGGAGGACTGCCCTGTCTGTGGCTGCTCTCTGTATTCCTGCTAGTAAAGGTCATGCATCTGTTGTGAGCCTTCTGATTGACAGGGGAGCAGAGGTTGATCACTGTGACAAAGACTGCATGACTCCTCTGCTTGTGGCTGGCTATGAAGGACATGTGGATGTGGTTGATTTGCTCTTGGAAGGCGGCGCTGATGTGGATCACACAGACAAGAACGGGCGCACCCCTCTCCTGGCAGCTGCATCAATGGGTCATGCGTCTGTGGTCAACACGCTACTTTTCTGGGGAGCCGCTGTGGATAGCATTGACAGCGAGGGAAGGACGGTGCTGAGCATCGCCTCGGCTCAGGGAAATGTGGAGGTAGTCCGAACTCTGCTGGACAGAGGGCTGGATGAGAACCACAGGGATGACGCAGGCTGGACCCCGCTACATATGGCTTCGTTTGAGGGCCACCGGCAAGTGTGTGATGCTCTTATTGAACAAGGTGCTCGCTGCTCAGAGGTGGATAATGATGGTAGAATACCACTGATATTGGCTGCACAAGAAGGACATTATGACTGTGTGCAAATTCTCCTTGAGAACAAGTCGAACATTGACCAGAGGGGGTACGATGGAAGGAATGCACTCAGGGTATCTGCACTTGAAGGCCACAGAGACATTGTTGAACTGCTGCTGAGCCATGGTGCTGATATAGATTGTAAAGACGCAGATGGTCGCCCGACACTCTACATAATGGCACTTGAAAATCAGCTGGCCATGACGGAGTATTTTCTTGAAAACGGTGCGAACGTTGAAGCTTGCGACACGGAGGGCAGGACAGCCCTCCATGTATCCTGCTGGCAGGGACATATTGAGATGGTGAGGCTGCTCATCAACTACCACACTGACGTGAACGCCTGCGATAATGAGAAGCGATCCGCTCTCCAGTCTGCAGCATGGCAGGGCCACCCCAAAGTGGTTCAGTTTTTGATAGAGAACGGAGCGCATGTGGATCATACATGCAACCAGGGAGCAACTGCACTGGGTATAGCTGCCCAAGAGGGACACATCGATGTCGTGCAGATACTGCTGGAAAACGGTGCGGACCCCAACCACGCTGATCAATTTGGCCGTACGGCAATGAGAGTGGCAGCCAAAGGCGGCCACTCAATGATCATTAAAATACTAGAAAAATATGGAGCCACAACATTAAATGGCTGCAACCCTTCCCCTGTGCATACCATGGAAGAGAAAACACCTTTGGCAGTGACTGGCAAAATGCATTCTCTCACCATTAAATCGAGCAGTTCTGGCAGCACAGGGGTGGGAGACGTTCAGTCATCTGGACGCGGTCTCCCCGACGGACCTGTCCACGCTTTCAGCTCGCCATCAGAATCTCCCGACTCCACTGTGGACAGACAGAAGTCATCCCTATCAAACAATTCCCTCAAGAGTTCAAAAAACTCCTCTTTAAGAACCACGTCATCCACAGCTACAGCTCAAACTGTACCTATTGACAGTTTCCATGGAATGACATTCACAGAGCAGATTCAGCAGCACTCACTGCCTCGGAGCCGAAGCAGACAGTCGATTGTGTCCCCTTGCTCAACAACAAAGTCCGTCAGTCAGCAGCCATCATCTCCATCCAACGAATTTGAATGGTCTCAACTGAAGTCAGGTCTGAAGTCGGCCAAAGGAACTAAGACAGGAAGCGGAACTCAAAATAGCAAAGCAGCTCTGGGAGACAAAAAGAAAACAAAAAACAGTGGATCCAGCCAAGGCCAGGTTTTGGAGTACGAGATGACCCAGTTTGACAAGAGAATGGCTTTCAACCAGTCAGTTGCCAATATTGCAGTGAAGGATCCTCACTGTAAGATCATGATTGGTGGTTCCATGCAACAGGACAGAGGCCAGTGCCAAGACCCGTTCTTCATCCAGCCACAGAGCTGCTCAGAGAAGAAAAGGAATGGGATTATGACAAACCCCAAATATCACCTACAGGGCAACCAGGTTTTCTTGGGTCGAGTGTCAGTTCCACGGACTGTCCAGAACAGGGCCCACCAGGATGTTTTAGAGAACTACCCCATTGGGGAAACAGAGCTGAGCCTTAAACAAGCCCTGAAGCTGCAGATTGAAGGATCCGACCCAGGGTTTAACTACAAAAAGGAGACTCCGTTATAGCTGGTAAGAGATCTTACAGTATGTTTTGCACTGAATGGAAGACGTGGTGTGAATAGATTTATCACCACTGTGAAGGAAGGTCATTATTTATGACAGGATCATAATCAGAAAATGAAAATTTTAGAAAAATCCAAGCTTTGATTTAAGTCCCTTTATCAATTTCAAAATCACTTGGATCTAAATTATTAATACCCTTGTTAAAACTTTGTACAAATGCCTTTTGCCAAAAGTAGAACATGTTTTTTTCAAGGTTGGAGCAAACTGAGAGGAATCATTAACTATTATTCGGTATAAACTTTCTTTAAGGAGGACCACTGATGACTGTGGAAGAAGGTTGATTAGTGTCTGTATGATATTTATTTAAAACCTCTTGGTTTGTCAAAGAGTTGGTAAATCCATGGACTTTAGCAAGGTTCCTGTGGCCTTTTTATAATTTTTCTTAGTTGTTTCAGTGCATTTCTAACACCGCAATTAACATTTGCGCAACAGCTACTATATTCTTCAAAACAGTACAAACTACAAGACAATGGTGATGACCTGTGTGATAAGTGTCACTTGTTAAAAATGGATAGTTCATTCATTAAAAGCAAGTTTCCATGTCATTGAAAGTGCCATCAAAATGAAAAGTCCTGAGACCATGTTTATGAACCAGATGGCTTGCCATGTTTTCATCATAATAGGTCACTCTGTGTTTTCAAATGCAAATACATATGATCTTTGTGGCCTTGCCTGAAAATGCTCAATAGAGCCCTATATACTGTTTTTCCAGACATTTGAAATCTACAGTTGCAGGTAATTGAGTGCAAGACATTGGATACTGATGTTTTATATTTTTACTGCATGTGTTCTTTGCTTTTACACAATGCTGTGAACAAAATCAAAGCTGGAAAATGCAAAACAATTTGCGATAAACATAAGAAACACCTTTTGGTGAAAGTTGTGCTTGACTATAAATAATTGCGTCTGTTAAATTTATTGTGAAGGTATTTGTAGGTGTAGCAATGAATTCTCAATCAGTGGTTTTGTCAATAATAATTGTTCTCAGTTTTGAGGATGGATTTTTCTCCATTTTTACAATAAGAGATTGTGTTGCTGCTATGAAAGATGGTGTTATTTCAAGGATTTTCACACCTCTTTCTTCAGTAGCGCAAAGAATTTTTCCCCCTTCAAAACAAAACCAAAAAAACTAACCCTATTATTTTCTTTTTTTGCTGTTTTAGATGTTCTGACCACCATCCATCATGCTGACATTGGGGAAAATGTGCCAAAGCAACAGTTTCCGTCTGCATCACAAAACTACATTGAATCCCCCCATCCTCCCTCCGTGGGACGCCATAAAACAACTCTCTGCCTGTAGTGTATGTGAACTGATATGTGCCTACATCTGTTACAGCCTTCTGTTTTCATTCAAAATATCATTTTAATTTAATGTTATACTATTTAATAAGCAGTGTATGCACTTTTAAAATAGTAAACTGACAGACATACATGTTTTTCCCCTTCACTTTGTATCCCCTTCATGTTTTATGAGCTGTTTGAGAAAAAACATGCCAATTCTTCCATTATTATTTTGTAGTATGGTGTATTTGTCTCACTGACAGCAGTGTACCAGTGGGTGCATTGTCCCAAACAGACAGTAACTGATGTCATGGTTGTCATTCATTGCCTTTCTAGAGACCCCAAATAATCTGTGTTACCTTTGATCAGAGTGCTAAAACCTTTTGTTGCGTGTAACATTTTAAAAGCAGTTTACTGGGATATAAAGTGTATTTATTTTTTAGGAAAACAAGCCACTTTTGTTGCATTTTTATTTGTGTTGCATTCTATCATGGTGCTGTGTTCAGAAGATGCCTGCAGACATTTTGGGACTTTTTTTTTGCCTTTTAAATATCTGAGCAGGAGGGAGGTTCATTTATAATGTAAAACAAATTTGATTTCGTCCCTATGGGATTTTTCTGTTTTTGTATTGTATGTGTGTGTGGTGTTTTTATGTGCAAGAGTATTTAAGTAACCGTTGTGTATCGTCAGCAAGGTTTTGGTGCTAAATGCAGCAGTTTTTTTTTTGTTTTCATTTAGCATTTCTCAGCAGCTCTGCAAACAGAACCCTGGCTTTGTTTCTGTATCATTTTCATTATATTCTGCTGGACTTTTCAGGGGCGTGACACAAAAAGGTTCAGCCAATAAGACAGCCCCTAGTTGTTAGTGATATTGTTTGAAATGCAGACTTTCAAGAGCCAAAGTTGAAACAGCATACACTGTCCCACCTCCTCTTGGAGGAGGAGTTTGGTCAGCAATGACTTGGAGAGAACTGAAACATCTGTTTCTCATGAACTGAGCGGAGCTGCTTTAGCATTTACAGGCTATGTCACATCTTTGCAGGCTTCTCAAAATGTTCACAGTGAGCTATATTTTTGCCAAGAGCTGGTATTTTGGGGGAAGAAGAAATCTTATCGCATGCACAAACACTTATAAACCCCCAGTGAAACCTCTCTGTGTGCCACGAAGGGCGAATGGAAGGATTTTAGGCAGGAAATCATGATGTATAGTGTTATTAAACAGTTCTCTTGTTGGTCTCGAACCTGTTCTGTCTGTCCACTTTGATTTGACTCAGTGATTGGATTGTAAATAGCTTATTGTGTACATTTAACTTTCATTAAAATAATTTCTGTATTATACAAAGCTGAATTTTCTGATGTATATTAAAAGTGCTTAATAAACATATTTGCTTTACTGCTGAAAAATTAGTCCTGCCCATTTCTCAATTACACCAAGATATGAAAAACCAAAATGTGTCTGGAATGCAATGTAGTGTGATTAGGCTACTTTAAAATCAGTGCATTTTGAGTTTTTTTTATTTTTGAAATCAATACTGTTCTTATGCAGAGCTTTGTTCAGTAGCATTTGATTCATACTGTAATACAGGGGTCCCCAAAGTCGGTCCTCGAGGGCCAGCATCCTGCATGTTTTCTCTCCTTCCTGGTAGTGGCGACCAGGAAGGAGATCATTTGATCCAGGTGCGTTAAATCAGGGAGAGAACTAAAACATGCAGGGTGCCGGCCCTTGAGGACTGACTTTGGGGACCAAGTTCATAACTTGAAAATTATACTGACCATCATTTGCACTGACCATTTAAGAAAATCTGAGAAAATATCACTTGTATAATAATTTGGAACACTGTATTTCTGTAAAATATGTATCAACCCATTGCAGAAAAAGACAAACTAGGTGTTACTGGTTAGCACTAAAAATCGAGCAAACGCAGTTTGAAGTGACCCAGAGAAAACAGTTAAAGTAGTGAAATGTAAAATCTACAGCAATAAAGTTTATCCTTGAGATTTGTGAGGTTTACTAATTCCAGGAAGAAACCTGACTTCTCTGCCACACAAAAGCTTTTGTTTCAACGTCAGCAGAATTTTTACATCAGAAATCTGTTAATAACTCAGTTTTTCGCTGAGTATATAACAGAATATAGATTTTTTTCTCTCTTCACTGTGGAGATTCTTCCGTCGTGTTGAGGCTGTGAAACCACTGCACTGTTAATACTTAACTTCAGTGTTGGTCATTTGATATGCAGAGGCCAAACCAGGACATCGCAGGCATCCAAACACATGGATCAAACTGAAACGGAACAACAGGCGAGCATGCCAAAGTGCTATCGCTGCCCCCCATTTTATCCCAGAGTTCATTCAGTTCGTAGCAGCCGAACACAAACTGAGAAAGAGCTTCAGCAAAAACAAAGCTTTGTTTAGCTCAGGTGACGCATTACCCAAATAAAACCTTCAGAATCATTTAACCTCACGAGCACCCATTTACCCCTTGACCTGGAATTAAAATTCAGTGGACTGAATTTCCACCAATATTTCATCAAATAAGCAGAGGGGTTTAAGTGGCATTTCGTCTTGTCAGCCATCAGCGCAGCATTTCCCTGCATGCTTCCAGGGTGAATGTTAATGAGTAAACCATCTGGCGCTGACGTCATGCAGTTCTCACTGTCCGAGTTCTTTGCAGACCAACTGCCAATGTCCACATCTGGTTCTTCTCCACCCATGCCCTTGTTTTGGATACAGAGCTAACAAGCTCCCACGCAAAATGCATAACTTGGCGACAGTTTTGAGGTCAACTTGTTCCAGAGACATTTTTTGTTTAGACCCTCTGGCTTTGCCCTGCATGCCGGGTTTCATCCTCTAGTGCTTTTGCTTCATTTGCATTAATGCAGCTGCAGATTTTCAGCCCTTGGAGCTCAGGGTAATTTTGAAATCAAAAATATTGTCATGTCCTTGAGGAGGAAGATTTTCTCAGCCTCAAGTGACGCAAGCACTGAAACATTATTTCCATTCTTGAAGCCATATCTTTCTAACTGCTTGGAGCAAAAGCTGATCAGAAAAAAAAAAAAAAGTTACTTCATGGGAGAGTTGCATTATTTTGACCTTTCAACAAGCTTTTTGTCTGTCTGAAAATTGTTTCATTCTCTCTCTCCCAAAAACAAAATAGTTTGGAGGTAAATTTTATTTTACTTATGTTAGTTTACAAAAATATGCTAGACTGACTTGGACTTGCAAAATTGTATCTGAATGAACCTCACATCTTAAGGAACAATGTCCTTCAACAGATAACGCCAAAGCATAGATTGTTGGCAGCATTGCACAGCAGCATGTTTGCATAAAAGCAGAACATATCATCACAGCAAGGTGGTGGAAAGAAGATGATTAGGGTTTATTCTGTAGCTGCAGGACCTGGGCATTCTGCAGTCATCAAATGGCCTTTCTGTCAGTCTCAACCTGCTGATTCTGCTTCATGAAACTGTGGGATTTTAGTTACAGCTAACTTTTAGATGATGCCACCAGCGTGCATGGAAGTGTTAAAACTCCACTGGCAACGATGAAGCCATTTGCATTGATCTGAGACATTATCTTTCCCCCCCAGTTGTGCTGTTGGTTGTGATAAATCTTGATTACATCTGCTATAAAGTCTTTGGAGTCTTGGACTGCCAGTGAGCTTTGATAAAGTTAGCTTGACTGCTAAAGTTAACTTGGCCTCCCTTCAGGGAGTCGTCGTGCTCTGGATTTCTGTCGCCACTGTGGGACACGGCCGAGCATTTACGAGCCGTTTAGAGGCTGTGCGTATTAAACACAGTGAAAAACAACATAAAGCTCTCAGATTGGGGAAAACTGCATGAATTTTCACCGAAGCTTTTATCTGTTGCAGTGCAGCTCTAATACAGTTGAATTAAAATTCTGGAAAAGAGCCTGTGGCTTTGAACGCAGCCTCCACTCGACAACAATGCAGCACCTCACTGCCAACAAAGCTAGAAAATGAGAGATTACTGACATACTTTACTCCTCTTTGTAGCCTGTTTACATAATCCCTGTGGTCCCTCATCAAGAAGCGTGGATGAAAAGCTTTCATCAGTTCACATTTAAAAAGCCTCTCTTCTTTATAAAAACTCAACTCAGCAGCCCAGCATGCATGCAGGTGGGCGATTTTTACTAAACACTGAGCGGGATTCATAACACGGCAGAAAACAAAGACTTTAAAAAGAGTTTAAAAAATAGCTTTCAGGCTGCTCTGTGTAAAGGGTCATACTATCCATCATTAATCACTGCTCTTGAAGCCAAAGACAATAAATGGACTCATGCTCAACACAATAAAAGGATTGTTGCTCCACAAGCTACAAAACTCTGGTATGAAATGTGTGCAGCTGCCTGTAAACCAGAAGACTCCACACTCTGCTTTTATCTCTGCTCCTGAGTTATGAGGAAGCGAGAAAACCATCATTTTTTTAGAGCATGAAGGAAATCCAGATTCAGAAGCATTAAGTGCTGTTTTTAAGCATCAGAAGATGAAAGATTTATTTCTAACCACTAGGCATGTCATTCACTTCACCACTTTTAAATTAAATGTTATGCATCTGATACATGAGAAGCAAACTTCTCATGTATCAGAAGATCCTTATTAAGGTAAAAACCACTCTGCTTTCAGGTTTTAATCAAGTAATTTTTTTTATTTTAGAAAAAGAGGCAACTGCAACTGAACCAAGAGTTCAGAACTAGAGAGGCTTATGAACGTTGCACACACATGCAGAACATCATGTGCATAATAACCAAATAATTCAATAAGAGTTTCAAAGATATAACTAGTATTTTAGTGTCATTCCCTGTAAAAATTCAATGCATATATTACAAGAAAAAAAATTAAACTTGCATTTATTATTATATCTGTATTTAAAAACATTATTCAGTTCCTTATTATTTTTAACCAAAATTATAAAGAGCCATTGTGGAAGATCCAAAGAGTCACTTGCTACCGCAGGTTGCAGACCCCTACTCTACAGAATGGCCCACAGGTTGTGCAGTTTTTTGGGACATTTATATTAGAGTGAATAGAAGATAGGATCTGGGAGGGGAGCAAGTGATATATCAGACTAGAAATGGTCTGAAAAAGGCAGATTCAAACAAGGTGAAACAACTTCCATCATGAAAATCTCTGAGATTCAAATTTGATTGTGATCTGAGTTGAAGATTCTCAAATCTCATCCAAGCTTAATTATTTGTTGTTTACGCTGCCACTCTGCTATTCCTTTAGCATAGCAAAATGACATTCACATAAACCACAAATACTTTGGTTTCTTAAACGTTGCTGCTTACATCACACTATTAGAAACGGTGTCCTACCTGTAGTTTCAGTATAAATACCGCTGATGGGTATCTTCAGGCTCGGACTGCATGGCAGATATAAAAGCATGACAGGGATAAAAGTCACCTACACTTCTTTTTGTGTATGAAAACTGCTTTGATTGACTGACAAGTAATAGGCTAATTGTTTTTGTTGCAACAAAAGCTAACAATGAATACTAAGGAACAAATTTGCAAGTTAACGAGCAGTAGTATAAAAAATAAGTTGGCCTTGCTTGTCACATACATTTAGATAGATAGATTGATTGAATTTATTGTCATTGAACAGGATTCAACAACATTTCTATTGCAGCTCCCGTGCAAAAAGTCAAATATATACAATAAATAAAATAAACATGCAATAATAACAATATATACAACTAAAATTAATTAAAAGGCATTCCAACTACACTAAAGAAGAAGCAGCAGGTCCAATTATGGCAAAGTGCAGATGATGTGACAAGTGCAAAGTGCAGAACGATATGGCTGTGTGGGACAATACTGGCAGCATTAAGCTCCTCTAAGCTGAGAGACACAGTGACACAATGCTATCTTCTGCCAGAGTCTTTCTGCTGATGAACATCATATGTGCAGCACAAACAGAATGATGAGAAGCAGATTTGCCGATGTGAGAATTGATCGCTCACTACCTGGGTGTTTTATTAGCCACCAAATCACTTTATTATGCAGAACTATAATTGAGAGAGGAAAGGAAGTTTCACTGCTGCCAAAGGTCCTTGACCTCACTTCATGGCTCCAGATCTGTGGGTTCTTTTCCTCCATGTTCTTCTGCAATCATGCCTTTAATTCTTTCCCTTGGTTTGTCACTAAATTACTGACTTTTCTCTGTCATTCCTTTTCTTTATATTTTCTTCGTCTGCGTCTTCCTCTTTATGCTGGATGTTTGTCATTTTTTGTTTACCATGCCCATCTTTTCTGTGTCTTGCTCTTGTTTTCCACTGGTTTTTCTCGGGGATTTTGCTCCCGCTGTCTCATTTCTCCGCTCTGTGAGCTGCCAGTAGCTCTCTCGGCGGCTGCAGCAGAGTTCACCTCAGGACAAAACCCTGCTCT